TCCCGTAAAGATTTACACCCTCGGAAACCCTGTACAGGGTCGCTATGGGTCGGAACCGACTCAACGGCACTTAACAACAACAACAATATATATACATAGAGAGAGAGAGAGACAGAGACAGAGACAGAGAGACAGAGAGAGAGACAGAGAGAGAGTCTTGGTGTGACATTGTGGGCTAATGCGGCAGACTGCAAAGCTGTTTGAACTTCAAGGTCTTCGGTTCAAGATCACCAGCTGCTCCTCGGAAACCCTACACAGGGTCACTATGGGTCAGAATCGACTCGACAGCACTTAACAACAATAATATATATATTAAAGAATTTCAAAAAACTTGTTGAAAAATGGGATTGAAAGATAATGGAATTTTCCCTTGACTTTTTGAAGCCCTCTCAAATATAGGGAATAATTTTATTTCTAATAAATTATTAACCTTTAGCTTTTTAGAAATAGAACTATGGCTTATTACTCCCCCACCCCCACCCCCAATTATCTAGCACACATGGTAACTTCTGGAAGAATGAAGGTAGAAAAAAAGAATGAATGATAAAGGTCAGAGAGATCAAAATAACAAGAAAGTCTTAATATACTATAGGCTACAGTTCTAATTTCGAATCTGAACCTTCACATCTGGGGGCATCTGCTAGTAGTTTAATTCTTCTAAAAACAAGAGTGTTTTATAAAATTCACCTTACTTTGATGAAAGCAGTATACCATATACAATGAGGAGAAACAATCATTTGTGGGTTTATTTCTGATGAAGAAGAAAGAAGCATGGATCAACTGGAACTTTCAGGAAATTTGAGGCTGTATGGTAAAAAAAACATTTCTAAAAAGTGGGATTCAAAAACTGATGAGAGGAAATTGAAATGCAATGGTGCTCAACAGGGTTCAGTATTTCATTAAACATTATCAGCTCATTGAAGACACCATGGCATTTAACAGAAATTCATAGAAAAACATGAGGGATTATAAATTACTTAGAAGCCCAAAATAAAGTCACAGTAGTACATGGCTAGTAGCAACTACAAAAATACTTAACTCAATATTAAATTGAATTAAGAGTAAAACTGGGGTCTACATAGTAGGAAAAAAAACCTTATTACATGGATTACATCAAAGCAAGTGTGATGATGAGAATCCTTCAAAAATAGTTTTATTAGGAAGCATTGAATGAACTGGGTAAGTTTGATCTGAGTGCCTACTTTGTACAAATATAAATGAGTAAGCCACAACAAAACTGTAAAGACATCCATGCCTACATGTAGCTATTATAAAATAATATGACACTTCATAAGATATATGAGCCCAGGTTCTGCCTGTGGTGATGAAAGCTTCAGGACCACTAACCTCCAAAAATTGAAGTAGCTTTCTTAAACAAAAGAATCTTAACTTTGGGAATTATACCCATTGACCCAGAGAGTATACTCTAATTAAATAAACAATGCATTGAAGTTCAGCACAACAACAAAATCCCCTACAACTTCATATACCAACATTTATCCTTATGCAATGTGCTTTGAGATGATCAAATAGAATATATTTTATTTAAATGAAATAGAAATACTGACCCAATAAATTGGTTTTCTAACTCCTACTAGACTAACATTTAACTGTGCTCATGAGGAACCTGTACATAGACCAACAGGTAGTTGTTCAAACAGAACAAGAGAACACTGAGTGGTTTGAAATTAGAAAATGTGTGTGCCAGCATTGCATTCTTTCACTATATTTATTCAATCTGTATGCTAAGTACATAATCAGAGAAGCTGGATTATATGAAGAAAAACATGGCACCAGGATTGGAGGAAGACTCACTAACAACCTGCGATATGCAGATGATGCAACCTTGCTTGCTGAAGTGAAAATGACTTAAAATATTTACTAATGAATATCAAAGACCACAACCCTCAGTATAGGTGTACCTCAATATAAAGCAAACAAAAATCCTTATATTGGATCAATAACAAACACTAATATAAATGGAGAAATGATTGATGTTTTCAAAGACTTCATTTTGCTCAGATCAACCATCAACACTCATGAAAGCAGAAGTCAAGAAACCAAATGACCTATTGCTTTAGGCAAATCTGCTGCAGAAGACCTCTTTAAAGTGTTCAAGAGCAAAAACATGAGTTTAAGGACTAAGATGCACCTGATCCACGTCATGGTATTCTCAATAACTTCATATGCATGTGAAAGTTGGACAGTAGTCCAGTACAGGAGGAAAGAAGGCCATAGAAGAACTGATGCATTTGAGTTAGGTGTTGGAGGAGAATATTGAAAGTACCATGTACTACCAAAAGAGCAAATCAGTCTATGTTGGAAAAAGTACAGTCAGATTGCCCCTTGAAATTCAGGATGGCCAGACTTCGTCTCTCATACTTTGGACATATTATCAGGAGGGACCAGTCCTTGGAGAAGGATATGTTTGGTAAAGTGGAAAGTTGGAGAAAGAGAGGAAGAGCCCCCAATGAGATGGACTGGCACAGTGGCAGCAGCAATGGGTTCAAATGTAGCAACAATAGTGAAGTTGGCGCATGACTGGGTATTATTTCATTCTGCTATGCATAGGGTCAATATGAGTCAGTACTGACTCTATGGCACCTTAACAACAACACTAGCCTAACACTTAAAGTTTCAATTAAGGTAATGTTCCGAGATAGGAAAGTTACAGAGCATGAAGAAACAGAACTGCCCCATGTTTCAGTAGATAGAGTGATCAATATGCCTTCTAACATTAGCTCTAACATTAGCCCCTTACTCCTAAAACTAGGGGATGACCTTGCTCATTCAGAGTCATTTAAAAAGTTTAGACCATCTTTAAAGAGACATATTTAATAGTTCAAAAGAATGCTATATGCCTGGACTATCTTCCCTAAACAGCTATCAAAATGCAATGCAGTTACCCTTGAAAGTAGTAGTAATCTAGTAAAACTGTGTTCCTAAAAAATGTCTTCAATAGTATCCAATACGTTAAAACATTTAACCTATGCCACCTAAAGGGCATCAAAACTCATAGAAGCAGCAGTCACAAAATCTAACAATCTATTGCCTTAGGCAATTCTGCTGCACAAGACCTCTTTAGAGTGTTCAAGAGCAAAGATATTAGTCTGAGGACTAAGGTCAGCCTTACCTAAGCCATGGTATTTTTCAGTAGCTTCCTATGCATGTGAAACTTTAACAAAGAATAAGGAAGACAGGAGAAATACTGATGCATTTGAGTTGTGGTGTTGGAGAAGACTACATGGACTGCCTGAAGAACAAACAGGTTTGTGTTGGATGTACATCTGGAATGCTCCTTAGAAGCCTGTACAGTGAAACTTCGTCTCTCATACTGTGGACATGTTATCAGGAGGGACCATTCCATGGAGAAGGACATCATGCTTGGTAAAGTGGAGAGTCAGCAAAAAAGAGGAAGATCTACAAGGAGATAGATTGGCATGGTAGCAGCAACCATGGACTCAGTGTAACAATTATGTGAATGGCATAGGATCAGACATTTTTCCGTTCTGTTGTGCACAGGGTTGCTACAAGTTGGAACAACTTGGTGGCACCTAACAATAGCAACAACATCAACCTAAAGGGCACCTTCTGTTTTTGAGATTTTTCAAACACAAAATGTAAAGTGAGAATACTTATGCTGTAAATCTTTTGCACTATCGTCTACATTTATTGAAGGCATGGTGTGAATTACAAGGTCGGTTTGAACCACAAGGTTGGCAGTTCAAGGGTTCCTCAGGAACCCTATACAGTGTATCTATGAGTAGAAACCAATTCCACGGCACTTAACAACAACAATATATTGATTATAATTTAGCTTTATATTCTAAAGTGAGTCAATGTAAAAAAAAAAAAAAAAAGAGTCAATATCATTTTAATTGGAGAAGCTACATAGAACAGTTTCTGTTAGATGGCCTACAGTAGTTTCTATCTATCTGGAGTCCTGGTGTGATGCTGTGGGTTAATGCGTCAGACTGCAAAAATCGTTTGAACTGCAAGGTCCACTATGGGTCAGAATCGACTCGACAGCACTTAACAGCAACAACAGACTCTATCTGTGTCCAGAACGTCTTACATCCTTTTGTTGTTGCTGTTGTTAAATGGTCTTGAATGTAAGAAAACCAATGTAATGAAAGATACAAAGGATTTGTAGATAAAGGCTCTTAGTTCAAGTCTTAGCTCTCTCTACTCCTCAGTAGTATGTGACCTTAAATTATGTTAAGCTAGTTTTTTTTTAATCTGAAATTTTAGTATAACAGACTCCTTCTCTGGCATTATAAGGATAAAATTAGGTGATGTTAGTTCACTCACTCATTCATTCATTCATTCATTCATTCATTCATAAGTTATTTATTAAATATCCATTACTAAAGATGAGAAAACCACATATATATCATATTATTCTTCCATTTATCAATCTTCTTTTTGGGATTAAATATTAGACTCCTAAGTGAAATAAGATTTTATATGGTGGTAAGAAAATTCCAAATTGAAAATACAAATCAGAAGTACTCACACATGTACATAAAAATTTATACATACCCACAGCTATTGAATCATACCTCTTTGCTTTCTTCCAGATCTGATTCACTACTGAAGTCCTCTGTGTTTAAGTTTTCAAAGTCAGACTCTCCAACAGCAATTGGAACAGTTACAGTAAGACTGGGGTTGTTTATGAATGACATGTAATCACTTTCATCAATAATGTATTTTTCAACACTGCTGCCAGTTCCTATGCCACTTGTGGTTCCATTGACATCTTTAAGATACTCAAGATCTTTCCCAATTTCTGTTGTATGGTTGGACATACAGTTGTCTTTCTTGTTGTTTAGATCATCAAGTGGTTTAATCTCATCTAAAATCTTTTGTTTCCTAACAAAGGACTGTTGAATAAATTCATATATTTTTCTTTTCACATATGCTATCCCCTTGTGCATCCTCTCCACAGCAATTTGGAGATTGTTCATTTCATTATCATCATCAGTGGCAGCAAGGTTGTCTGCGCTGAATGAGCTCAGAAGCAAAGCCAGAAAGAGGTTCAGGACCTTTAAAAACAATACAAACAGGGCTATAAATTCACCCCCAAATAAACAGAAAATTGAGAACACTTATTCCTATACAGGATTGTTCTGAGTCAGAACCAACTAGATAGCATTTATCAACAACATTCCTATAGATGGGAGCACAGTGACTCCATACAATAAGCTCTGTAATGTGAACCACAAGGTCTGTGGTTGGAGCCCCCCAGCTGCTCCTCCACAGAAGGATAAGGCTTTCCACCTCCTTGAAGATTTAAACACTCAGAAACCCTAATCAGGGTCACTATCAGTTGGCATCGACTTGATGGCACTTAACAGCAACAATAATTTATTTTAAGGAGCCATGGTGACATAGTGGATTAAGTACTGGGCTACTAACTGCAGGGTTGGTTGTTCAAACCCACCAGCCATTCTGCAGGATAAAGATGAGGTTGTCTGTTTCCATAAAGATTTACAGGCTCTGAATTCCTATGAGGCAGTTCTACTCCATCCTATAGGGTTACGGTGAGTTGAAATTGACTCAGCAGCAGTAGGTTTATAATTTCTTTTTTGGTAAACAGAGATATCAAATTCATATTTATTGAAAAGTAATCATTATGACTCAGAATTAAAATTAATAGTTTAGCATAGACATGAACACTTGTTTTCTAAATCTATTGTATTTCTCATATCCTATTGCTAAGTAATTGGAGTCCTGGTGTGGCGCTGGGGGTTAATATGCCAGACTGCAAAACCGTTTGAACTGCAAGGTTGGCGGTTCAAGCTCACCTGTTGCTCCTCGGAAACCCTGTACAGGGTCTCTATGGATCAAAATCGACTTGACGGCACTTAACAACAACAACTGCTAAGTAATTAATAGAAGTATTTTTTCAAATCCTCAATATTTCCACAAGACTAACACATTAATGTACACACTCTTTGGGATATACTGTATATTCTTACATTATGAACATTAATGTTCCAAAGAGAAAGAGGATTGATCAGTTCCTCCATTAGGATAATCACTGGCATTATTTGCCATTCTTTGTGTTGATTTAGAGTCACTAGAGAATTGACAAACCCAGGTTGGCTAATGTATCTACCATGACACGGAGTGACTGAACGCTATATGCCTAGAAGTGGCAAGGAAAGGGCAAAATCATTATGCGCTTTTAATGGCATCAATTCTTAGTCCTATATTGGCAAGTAAGTTTGGACTTATCCTAAATTTTTATTTTCAGAATTCACCCTCTCTTGACTCTGATATCATAAAATTCTCAGCACATCCTTCTGTGGATTCTCAATTAGAGATTCTCAATCGGAGTATCAATATGATGTTCTATTGGAGACTATACAGTAAATGTGATGCAAGGACTAACACAACACAGTTGAGCACATAAATTTAAGGCCAAAGCTATAGTGCTGTGATGTTAAAATGAATCTATAGGCACAGACAAGGTAAGAAACTTTTAAAGTGAATAATCAGTATTTATTTTTCACAAAATGGTCACCATAGTATTGTGCTTTTACCATAGTTTAGAAATACTTATCATACGTGGATACATACCACTAGGTTCCCAATGACCATGACCATCATGAAGACAGTAAGGCACATGGCTTGGCCAGCGACCTCCATACAGTCCCACATGGTCTCTATCCACTCTCCACACAGCACGCGGAACACAATTAGGAAGGAGTGGAAAAAGTCATTCATGTGCCAGCGAGGGAGTTTACAGTCATTGGAGATCTTGCAGACACAATCTTTGTAGCTCTTACCAAAGAGCTGCATGCCGACCACGGCAAAAATGAAGACGATGATGGCCAAGACCAGGGTCAGATTTCCCAAAGCCCCCACTGAATTGCCAATGATCTTTATTAGCATATTTAATGTTGGCCAAGATTTTGCCAATTTGAATACTCGGAGCTGGAAAATAAAGAATTTATACAAATTATTATGACTTTCAAAAGTATTACAAATATTGAGGTTTATCAAGAAATGATGATTAAAATTAAACCTCTAGACCCGATCCAGACAAAAAAGCGACACCAGAGATGGAGGCAAAGATGATGACATCAAGAGATAAAGTAGCTGAGGACTCTAGACTCATGAAAGAGAAAGGCAGTGTGCTGGCGGCTAGGAGGCAGGCTTGCAGAATGAGCCCTTGGGTTGTTTAAATGATTGTATATTTCACAGTATTTTTGTGTACATCAAAAAAACACACCGAGGGAATAGAAGCAAATACTGTTGAATGGTGATGCATGGAGGGGATTGTAATCATTGCAATGAAACAAAATACAATAGGATGAGTGCAAAACTGAAGGTCTCCCATGTAAACTATCACTCAATGCACAATAAAAGCTTTAAAAATAAACAAATAAAGCAATGAAAAGATGAAAAAAAATTAAACCTCTAACAATATCTGCCTTGCCGTTATATCTTTTTGAGCTCATGGGTAATTATTTGTATATTGTAGGAAAATGCCATTTCTTCCACATTTTACATGTGTAGATAATTTATTCTGGGAGTAAAGTTGTGATGATTTTTTGGGATGCACCTGTTCTGGTTTTTGACGGTGGTTCTAAGCCACATCAAGCCTGATACTATAATATTAACAATGGAACGACAATGACTGCTGTGAAAAAATATCCATTTGTAAACAGGGCATTAAGCAAGGTGATAATTAGGCTGATATAATGAGAGAAAAATGCTTACTGTTCATTAATGCTTTGGGGGGTATTGATACAGCTAGATGTTTCTACATCCATAAAACAGAGTATTTCTGATGACTCTATAATTTTTTCCCCAATTTAAAAGGGCATATACAATTCCTGGATGTGTTTAGTGATCCTGAAAAATTTCTCTCTTTTGATCTTGGGTAGGTGTATATTTTTTCAGATGAATAACTAAGGACCATTTCTGAATGGACATTTTGTATTAGATTGCCACTCACTGCTACAAAGGGTTGCACATATTGTGAAGTAACTATTAAAAAGTGATGTATTTTCATTAAAAATATTTACTTACATCTGGAAATACTAACTGCAATAGTTTCTAGACATAATAATTAGCCAAAACAGTAACTTAAGTAATATATTAAACTATATGGTTATGTTCTTTTCAATACAAGATTTTCTAATTAAGTAGGCGTAAGGAGCTCTGGTAGCGTAGTGGTTACGAATCGGGCTGCGAACCTTAAGGTCAGTGGTTCGAAACTACCAGCCGCTCCGCGGGAGAAATATGAGGCTTTCTACTCCCTTAAGGATTTACACCCTCGGAAACCCTGTACAGGGTCGCTATGGGTCGGAACCGACTCGACGGCACTTAACAACAACAACAATGTTTTTAGTTCGGTTTAGTTTTTGACAATTCCAACTTCATACAATGTTAAAATGTTACTTGTTATGTGGTAAAATCTGTGATAGTACATGCCCAAACCCTGAGTGTTGGAAAGGTTTTTGTTGTTGTTTTGTTTAGTTGTTTACCAATCTGAATGAACGGAGAACTGATAATCCTTCCACATCTGCGAGGCCAAGTTCTACCAGGCTGAGTGTCACAATGAACCCATCAAAGATATTCCAGCCTTCTTGGAAATAATAGTAAGGATCCATAGCAATAATTTTCAGAAACATTTCTGCTGTAAAGATTCCAGTGAATACCTAAAATGAAAGGAAAATTACTCTAAATCCATCAGATAATGATAAAGTAGAAAGATAACAATATTTGTTCTTAGAATAAAATGTTTAAACTAATTTCCCCCATGGCAGTTCTATTACTAACTTCTATTTGTATAGTAATTTATAGGTGAAGAATGGCATTTGTATATTTTACCTCACTTTATCCTCAAAGAGTCACTGTTTAGTGGATAATTCAAAGCACAGTGTTGTAACTATAAGGTTAAGTCAATGTGTTATCACTACTAGGGTTCCAGGTCATACATACATGGGTTTATTTCAAACAATACATGTTTAAGCATGTCTCTGTGATCAGTAGTTGGCTGCAGACAAGTTCTCTGAGTAATACACTTGTCTTAGTCTCCTTAGGGTGCCTTGAAAAAAAGAGTCAATCAAGAGTATCTTCCGAGGGCTATCTGCTGGCCAGTTAAATTCAAGGCAGAGAAATCAGTTCAGAAGTTTATGACTGTTTTTTTCAGATTTTAAAGGAGCAGTATTGACAGATTTTGTTGTTGTTACTGTTTTTGAGGACACAGGACAACTACAGGGGCTCATTGGGAAGAAGTTTTAAGAGAATTGAAAGCTGCATTTGTGAGAAAAAGGCCAGGAAATTTGCACCAAGGAAATTTTGTCATCAAAATAATGTACTTGTTCATTCTTCAAGAGAAGCAAGGGCTGTCCTAGGAGAATTTCATTGGGAAACCTTACCTTATATACCCCACCACCCTGATCTTGTCCCCATGAGTCTTCTTTTTGTTCCCTCAAATGTGAACATTTCAAAGGAACACAATTTGAATCACTCAAGGATGTGAAAATTGCTGTTTTGACATGCTATAAATCATTAAGCACAGACTCTTCAGGGAAGGGTTAGAAAGATGGAAATACCATCTTTAGAAGTGTATAGACCTAGGTGAAAGATTTGTCAAGAAACAAAGCTTCACATTTTTGTATTTTTGTTTAATAACTGTTTCTATGATTTTATAGCAGTACTTTTTTGACTTACGCTTGCATTACTTTAGATATGAGAAATAAAGATCTTCAGATGGGAGATGATCTGTCAAATATTATACCATTAGAAAATTATAAGACTAGGATTTGAAAGCAAATCTTCTATTTTCACTAGTATTCTTTCATTACATCAAACTCTTCATCCTGTCTGCGTATGAGCAAAATTTTGCCCATGTTTTATTTATTTATAATCATTTCCCATTTCCCTTAAATCAAGTAGTTACTACTATAAATCATTATCTATCCTATAATATGTGTATAATTACTGTTTACCAGGCACATGAAAAAAAATTACTTCCATAGTTTAAGTAGAAGGGATTTAAGAGCACTGAGAAATGCTACACTTTTTTCTTTTACCCTAAAAGATCCTATGCTTCAAAACAAACTTCATGGAAGATGGGTACATTACTATGGAGATCTCTCTTTTCAACATATAAAAAACTAATATCCCTAAGTTGAATCAACTGACAAACGTTTTAATAATCTATGCTTTTGAAGCACAAAAAGAGAGAATTAAGTGGGGACCATCACCAAAAATGGCCTTGCTAGTCATTAAATACACAAAATGTACTGAAGGCTTTCAATATTTTATGGTTTTGATACAGATGGGTAGATAAAGCAATATATAATTCTACCTAACTCCTGGAAGTTGGAAAAGAAAGCATTTTTGAGTAAAATTATTGCTTGCAATGTTGACTAAGTAGGATAAAACAATCCACGATTTTGTTTTAGCCTTTTTCTGCTGAAGAAACTGGTAATGTCATTTCAAAAAGTATGTACATAAGTATGAACTGTCTCTGCATCTTGTAAACATTATAGATATCACTATGGTTGGTTTTAAGGTTTTTATTTTTGACAAAATGTAGGGTCATGCCAGCTAGATAACATTCCCATAGTTTGTGGGGCAGGAAGTAGGAAGGATGGTTAAAAGACTGCTGTAACCTATAAACATGAACAGTTTCTCAAACAGAAAATTTGAAGACTGAACACATTTACCTTTCAATATGCTTACCAAGTTTCCGACTGTAAGCACATGATTGAAATGTGGCGTCATTGGGTAGTGCTCCATGGCCATGAAAAGAGTATTTAAGACAATGCAGATGGTGATGGCTAGGTCAACAAATGGGTCCATCACAATCAAGTTGACAATGTGTTTCACCTTTAACCAATGTGGCGAACAGTCCCAGATTAAGAATACGTTGGAAAATTTATACCAACAAGGAGGGCATTTTTGTCTGGATTCTTCAAGCTCTAGATTATAGGAAAACAAAAAGAATACCGCCCAAAGGTATATTTGACACACACTTATATTCATTTATTTCAAATCCACTAGATTTCTTTTTTGTAATCAACTCATTTTCATTTGCTATAAAGAGTCAGCTTTCTTTATACTTCACTTAAAAATTATAGATTTTACTTTTCACATTCCTAAAATGATTTCAATATACATAGAGAATAGTTTTTTTCCTCTCATGCACTGATACAGAGACCTGGTGTAGCACTGTAGGATAAGCGCTGGACTGCTAACAACAAACTTGGCAGTTCAAACCCACCAGCTGCTCCTCGGAAATCCTATATAGGGTTGCTATGGGTCAGAACCAAGTCGATAGCACTTATTTTAACAACAGCAACATGCACTGATACTACATGGGCAGTTCTCAGATGAAGTCCAACTATGGACAAGTTGGCCTTGCCCACTAATGCTATATAAATAAGCCCTCACTTTAAAATAACTGAACTGTCCCTGTTGTTGCTGTTGTTGCTACCATCAAGTCAGTGCTTACTGCAAGTATGTACAGGGTTTCTGAGGAGCAGCTGGTGGGTTAACTACCTCTACTTGAAATAAATTCTTCGTCACAACCACCTTCACCTCCTATATATGTATATTTTAAATAATTTAAAAGTCTTTGTGCCTTTCTTTACACAGAAAACCAAAACCAAACCTGCTGCCTTCTGACTTCTAGTGGTCCAATAGGACAGAGGAGAATGCCTTCTGACTTCTAGTGGTCCAATAGGACAGAGGAGAACTGCTCTGTAGGGTTTCTGAGGCTGTAAATATTTATGGAAATACACTGCTCCATCTTTCTTTCATGGAGTAATTGGTAGGCTTGAACCACCAACCTTTCGGTTAGCAGTCATAGCGCTTAGCCAACTACCACGCCAGGACCCCATTTTGCACTAAGATAAGACCAAATAAGAACTGTGTGCACCTGTTCTGAATTACCTGCATATTCGACTTACAGACTTACCTAGTCTTAAAGACACACTTAGAAACTGGCCACATTTGTAATCCAGGAACTGCCTATGTTGTTGTTAGGTACTGTGAAGTCGGTTCTGACTCATAGTGACCCTGTACAGGGTTTCTGAGGCTGTAAATCTTTACAGGAACAGAAAGCCTCATCTTTCTCCCACGGAACCGCTGGTAGTTTCGAACTGCTGACCTTGAAGTTGACAGCCCGACTCGTAACCACTACGCTACCAGAGCTCCTTAGGAACTGCCTATACTTGACCTCAAGTTAAGTAAGGGGTCTTTTCACTGATGGAATTGGAAATCTCTAATTGTTTTTCTTGAGTGCCATGGAGTCAGTTCTATCTTGTAGTGACCTTGTATAGGGTTTCTGAAAAGAGGCTGCTGTTGGGTTAGAACTGCTGACCTTGAGGTTAGCAATTCAGTGCTTATGCTACAGTGCCACACCAGTACCAGATACCCCTAATGTTACTGTTTTTAAATGCTGACAAGTTGGTCCCAACTCAAAGCAACTCTGTGTAGGGTTTCCTAGGAGCAGCTGATAGTTTGAACTGCTGAGCTTGTAGTTCACAGGCCAGTGCTAACAGATCCAATAGCACCACACAAGGAGTCAAGAACCCCTAACAGAAATGCTTTATTCCGAATTTTTATAGAGTTACTATATACACATTAGGAAAACAGTCATGATACTATTAAATTTAAAAAGTATTTTGAACTTTCTAGAATATGTGAATAGATATAACAAACTCACTCAACTCACTGCTTTTAAATTGATTCTAATTCATAGGGACCCTGTATAGGGTTTCAGAGGCTGTAAATCTTTATCGAAGCAGAAAACCTCATCTTTCTCTTGTGGGGTGGCTGGTGGGTTTGGACTACTGGCCTTTAAGTTAGCAGTCCCGTGCTTATCCTACAGGACCACCAGATATAACAAAACAAAAACCAAACCCAAATCCACTGCCATGAAGTTGATTCCGACTCATACCAACCCTATATAGGGTATCCGAAGCTATAGACTTTTATGGGAGCAGAAAGCCTCATCTTCCTCCAGTTAACTCTTAAATAAGACCTATTGTATTCTCTCATTTGAAATGTACTGTTTCCAACTTATAGATAATTGCTTCAAATGAGACAACAGGCATTTAGCAAAAATAGCATAAATAGGAATGGGATCCATTACAAACCTTCTACTGTATTTGTTAAAATACTGGCTATACTCATTGCCCTTTGTCTTTGGGAAGGATCTTCTAGAAAGTCCATGGAAACATGGAAAGAACTTGACCTTCTCTTCCTCATTTCAGTTTCAGTGGTTGTTCCCTGTTTGGGGGAAAAAAAAGAAAAAAAAGCTAATCCATTAAATGGTTATCTTGAGCAAAATGATAAAGCCAACAATCAAAAGTCGACACAGTGAATTTCACATAATACATGCATCATGCACTTTCATATTTAACTTGGTGATGGCAGATATTGCTGACTTATTGTATCTTTAACCTGGAATATACAAACTGTTAGCCATTTCGTCATACAGCCAAAAGTAGCTTTTTAACTCTTTGATTTAATAAATTTATGAGACAAGATATAATTCTGATATAGTTGATAAATCTCTCGAGAGTCACATTTGTGGTTACCCTTATTTCTGAACTAGAAGTAAGAAATGGATAACTTGAAAGTGACATAAATGAGGAAGGCCCTTGGTATGGAGAAGGGAATTATTTTAAACAAATACAAATGATTACAATATACTTCACTACCATCTCATTTTTAGACAGAAGACATGGATGGTCATTAACAACACAAATTGCATGTTCAAAAAAACAAAAACAAAAACAACAACAACACATGCATGTTGCATGGACAACAGTTTCATCCAGGGTACCAAAGCAATAAGTCACCTAATTCTGACTTAAGTCATGCCTCAACATGCTGATATATTTCCATGTGAGTGAACAGTCTAGAAAGAGGCAAGATCGATTTATAAATTCCTCATCTGTAGATAAATGCACCCATACTTAACACACCTTTGTACACAGACAATTATTTAAACTGTCTGAATGAATAATTTATTTATGTCTCTTCATTTAGATTACAATGGAGAAGACCTATATCAGCATCTTTTTAGTAAGATAAATATGAAAACTAGAAATTTTAAGGTAATAATGAAGTTATCTATTTATGCACAGTGTTCTCCAAAAAATCTTCTAAACTGAGTTATATTAAAGAATTTATTGGAAAGATTTATTATACACCCTTCATATTTAAGTATAACGATCACTTTTTAAATTTTTTTACAGGACCTTAAAAGACATTCTACTATCTAAATTCATAATGGGTATATAGCAAATCCTCCAACTGGAGGCAATAACTTATAACTGTATCTAATTTCTCCTTAGCAGATTTATAAATAAATGCATTCAGGTGTTATGCAGGAGAGTATTGAGGTTTTACATTTTAACTGGTTAGTCTATTAAAAGTATTACAAGATGCAGGTACATTCACAGCTTGACCAACCAGGAATCATTCTCAGGGGGTTCCATTCTGTAGAAACACTGGCTGGTGCAGTAATCATGGGCCAGCCATGCCTAAACTATTTAAAACTTCCTTACATTGTCATCAGTAGCTGGCTTATCTATTATCACCTCTGGCAGAAGCTGTCCAACAGGCGATGTAGGAACTGAAGGTCCACCAACCAAGGAAACCACACCATTGCAATCCACAGTGCTGTGCATCTTCCCATTCGCTGGAAACACTGCCAGCATCCGGGACGACCTACTAGTCTGACTCAGGTTACTGTTGCGTCTCTCTCCATGACGTCGGGGTACAAATAGCGAATCTCTCCGGCTCTCATTATCCTCAAATGTGCTGTGTTCGTCATCAGCAAAGTCATTCTCGGACCCCACATCTTTTGTTCGCCCTCTAAAGCTGAAAAGGCTTGTTCTGCTATTTCGCCTTGGAGAAAATAGGGAGCCACGGATGCTCAACAAAGACTAAAAGTTTGAAACAACAACAGCAAAAAAGGGAGAATCACATTAAAATGACCCTCTGAAATGTGCTTTCATTTTCCAAGAGTTAGAAAGGGAGATTTCAATGTTCATAACAAAACGTGACTTTAATAAAATTATCATTTTATATGCATTCAGAGTAAATTAAATTTGTTTCTAAGAGGGGGCTTTAGGACTAAAGTCTAGAAGCAACAAATACAGAACAACTGAAAGGTATTTTGAAAACAAATATACAAAGAAACCTGAATCACCATTTCTCAAGTTCAAAAGAAAATGTTCTCAATGCATTGCTATGGTCAGTGGACACAGTCAGTTCACATTGGCAGCATGAGCTCCACAGGCTCATATTTGTTTTAACTGCTCTTTTGTTTCAAGGAATTCCAAAATGTTATCAGTTGCTTTAGTCCATCTTTGTAAAATCCCTTTCAATGAAATACTATTTGTTTCACCTATGAGGCACAGCGTTGTTGGCATCTGAAGTTCAATTTTGAAGTTCAGAGTGATGTGATTCTTAATAAACTGTACCTAATATTTTCAGGTGTATACACAATGATTCATAAAGATGCTAAGTGAATAAACAACATAAAATAATTAAAGGGACAGTTCTTATCAGCTAGCCCCAAACCCACATTTTCTTTTTCTCATTAAGAAGGGTGCAAACCATAAAGAAGAAAATTTGATTAGTTATAGATAGTAACAGCGGGCAGTAGCAGGCTCAGAATTTAGGTCTCCTGACTTTCAACAGTGTTCTATCAACTATGTTGTTGTTGTTAAGTACCGCCGAGTCGGTTCCGACCCATAGCGACCATGCACAGGGTTTCCAAGGGTGTAAATCTTTACGGGAGTAGAAAGCCTCATCTTTCTCCCGTGGAGCGGCTGGTAGTTTCGAACCGCTGACCTTAAGGTTCGCAGCCAGATTCGTAACCACTACGCTACCAGAGCTCCTTTCTATCAACTATACGGAACTGTAAACTTACACATATGTGAAGTAAACTTTTCTCATAACTATGTGAAGAAATGATAAATTTAAATTCAAGAAAAACTAGTCAATCAGTTGATGAAAATTCAAAAGTCCGTTTTAACTGGACCCCTCCTTTCAGTGGGCTAATTAATAACCATTCCTGCACTGTTAACTTGATAACTTAATAGTGTCTTACCTGGTGTGGAGAGGAGTACCTCTTTTCATATGTTAGTCGATTCCCTTCAATGGAGAAGCGAAACCCTTTCCTCCTGATGCTGTCTTCTGATTCAGATTTATGGAAATCATCCTCATCTTTCTCTTCCCCACCAGACTGCTCTTTCTGTTTCCTTTTCTTTCTCCGATTTCTTCTTTCCTTAGCACTCTTGGAACTCAACTTGGAGGCTTCAGAGGAACTGTCTGAGAGGCCACCTGCTGCACTCGGTTCTCTGGAATGCTCTGAGGCAGTTACAGCTGAAGCCTGCTAGAATGGAGAATTAAGTTTCAGCTTAGCATTAGAGAAGACTTCATCTTTCTTTAAAATGTCTCAAGTAGTCTCTGAGTGGTGTCAATGGTTGACACACTCAGTTGCTAACTAAAAGGTTGCAAACTCAAGTCCACCCAGAGGTTCCTTGGAAGAAAGGCCTGGCAATCCACTTCTTAAAAGTCAGCCATAGAAAACCTCAGGGAGCACATTCTGATACACATGGGGGTCTCCATGAGTCAGAATTCACTCAAAAACAATGGGTTAAAAACGGTTCAAGTATTTGCTTGGCATTGAAAAAATACATTTGTTTGACTGAAGCTGATTTCACTTAAAAGCATGTCTTAAAGTGAAGGAGAATATTGTCTTAAAGTGAGGAAAATGTTGAAAGTGCCATTGGCTGCCAAAAGAACCAAAAGGTTTGTGTTGGAAGAAGTGCAGCCAGAGTGCTCCTTGGAGGCCAGGATGGCCGAACTTCATCTCTCATACTTCAGACATATTGTCAGAGGGAACAGTCACTGGAGAAGGATATAATGTTTGGTAAGGTAGAGGGTGAGAGAAAAAGAGGAAGATCCTCAACGAGATGAATTGGCAAAGTGGCAGCATCAATGGGCTCAAGCGTGGCAACAATAGTGAGGTTAGCCCAGGATCGGGCAGTGTTTTTTTCTGTTGTGCATAGGGTCGCTTTGAGTTGGTACCAACTTGATGACACCTAACAACAACAACAAAGTGAAGGGTGAATTGTTTTTTTCTTATTTCCACTCAGGAAAGCTGTCAGTGACAAGCCTTTCTCAGTGTTATTATGTCTGTATTATGCTTCACATAGCACATATTCCAAATTGATCAATTAGGCATCAACAAGGATGTAAATTCGTATTATCTTTTGAAACTGCATTTACTAGAAACTTGTCATTTAATTATCATTGCTTTTCCCCCTGTGAATAAGAAACTGCAGTATGGAAGAAGATGGGATAAATTACTTGAGGTTAAATGCAAAAAAGACACGAGGAATGAGAGAAAGGTCTGAGATTCCTGAAATTGGGCTGTCTTTGAAATGCTTTCAATCAATCAAATTTAGGGGAGGGGATAACATCTCTTACTACTCTTCATCTATATAATACTTTATCCAGAAAAACGGAACCTGGAGTGTAAAAAGTTTCTTGTTAAGCAAGACAGGACTGTCATCCATTCAGTACTGATTCTTGCTAGCCACAAGAGTATAGACAAAAGCAGCAGTTTATGAACAAAACTTGTTCTAAAACAAGTTGGTATGGCACTGCAGGTTAATGTGCTGGATTGCAAAGTCATTTTTGAACTGCAAGGTTGGCGGTTCAAGCTCACCAACTGCTCTTTGGAAACCCTATGCAGGGTAGCTGTGAGTTGGAACATACTTAATGACACTTAACAACAACAACAATCTTTACAGAAACAGATATCCAGGTCTTTCTCTCATGGAGTCACTGGGTAAGTATGAACGGTCGACCTTTTGGTTAGCAGTCAAGTGCTTCATCAAGATGCAGGAATCCTAATTCCATCAACTTCTATTAGACACTTTCAAACAATTATCAGCCTCTCATTTTATCTTCAAAATTTTTCTATTAAGCACAGAAGAAAAAGGGAGGGAGGGGGAAGATCATGGAGTGAGACAGGGAACATTTCCATTGGTAAATTTACCTGGGCTGCCTCCTGTTGCTTTTTAAGTTGTTCGAGCATCTGCTGAAACTCAGCTTCTTTCTGCTCTGCCTCTTCCAAGGTGGCCTGATTCTGTTCCTCATAGGCCATGGCCACCACAGCCAGAATCAAATTTATTAGGTAGAATGAGCCCAAGAAAATGACCAGCACAAAAAATATCATATATGTTTTCCCAGCTGCTCGTAATGTCTGGAAACAAAAGCATCAATATTATTTCACAAACTGGTGACTTTAACTTTTTAATGATTTGTGTATCTTACAGGACTCTAATAAGATCATAATTATTTTGGTCATAGACTCTCCTACCTATATAATTATCTCCTTCCTTAGCTTCATCATTGGCCTTCTTTCCTAACTCATACATTCAGACTCTCATCTTTGGAAGGGCATTGCTGAATTCACCAAAAATAACTAGGTTAATAAAGGACAATGGAGACTTGCATAAAAGAGCTAAGCCTTTGAGGAAGGTCAAGGAAGAGGTTAAAGTTCTCTTTCCACATCTGTTTATTCATTTTTCATCATTTCCCACCTAAGTGATAATACTTGACTGTGTGACGGGTGGGAAAAACATTTTGTGCCTAGGGGAAATCAGAATTTCTATTCCTGGCATGCTAAACAAGTGTTCTTATTAATGGGCTAGAAGAACTCAAATCCTCTGAAGCAGTGGTTAAGCACTTGGCCACTAACAGGAAAGTCAGCAGTTCAAACCTACAAGCTGCTTCACCAACTGTTCTGGGGGAGAAAGATGTGGCAGTCTGCTCCATAAAGACTGCAGCCTTGGAAACCCTATGGGGCCAATCTATTCTGTCATACAGCGTCATTATGAGTTGGAAAGGACTTAACAGCAATGGATTTTGATTTTTTTTCCCCTTTCCATTGTATCATGCTATGGTTTGGGTTTCATGACTAGACTGATTTTCTGGAATACTTCTACTTAGATGGAATATCCGTTCTCTTCAGATTCTCACCAGTTGGTAAAGATTTTCCCAGAAGTCCTGAGTCATTAGTCGAAATAAAGATAAAAAAGCCCAACTGAAAGTATCAAAGCTGGTGTAGCCATAATTGGGGTTTCTACCAGCTTTTACACACATGTATCCTTCTGGACATTGGCTGTAAGCAGAGAAAAGGGAAGTATTACAAGATATTGCAATGCCTTTTTATTCTGGTAGCATGTTATAACTTGTAACGTATTTCCAAGAAGATTGGTTAATTCAAGAAATAATAAATAACATTATATTTGGACATAATAAAATTGTACAAGTGTCCTGGTATGGTGAATCCTGGTGTGATGCTGAAGCATGAGCAGTAGACTGTTAACCAAAAGGTCGGAAGTTCAAACTCACCAGCCGCACCTTGGAAACCTGACACAGGGTCGCTATCACTCAGAACCAAGTCAGTGGCACTTAACCACAATAAGTCGCCAGTCAATTTTACTACCCATATTTTAAGGTGTAACCCTTCACTGATACTTTACAAAACTATTTCCCATTGCTAATTAGCATGTTAATGTTTCTCTACTTCATTTTCCCTGTACGGCATCTCCAGAACTGACTTGTAGCCAGATATATTTTTATCTAAATGCAATCCCATGATAGCTAAACATATTACTCCTTTCCTTTTTTTTTTTTTTAGGAAACATAAAAGCTTGTCTACTATTTTAATAATTTCTCACTTTATAAGTAATTGTAATTAAAGAAAAATCAGTGTAAATAAAGTTTATGAACAAAGTTTATGCACACACAGGCATTGCTGACTTACCCTGCATCAGAGCTGTTTCCACATAGCAGTGCATCTAAAATGCCCTCCAAGAAATAATGGTATTCTGTGTGAAAAAAAAAACAAAAACAAGTCAAATGAGGAATATCTTCTGCAATATTCAAAAATGCTAAAAGGAGAACAGGATTATTAGGTCCTACTTACAGGACTCATTAAGTTTGAGCATATTATGTAATTCATTAAGAGACACAAGAATGTTCCCCCTTTCCTTCCAAATTCTAGATATTATATTGGAGGGATCAGATACTGCAAAGTATTTCTTTATTAAGAATGTAAACTCAATGATAATTGTAGGTAACAACGTAATGTTTTAGAAAGATATCAGTGTTTTTCCACCACCATCATAAGGGAAAAAAAAATGTCATTCTATAAAAGGAGATGAGAATGAGAGGGATTTCTTAGCTTTCTCAAAACAATGACATATTTCAAAATAAATGGGTTTTATCTTTTCTGGTTGTATTGTTTAATTTAACACTATTTATAAATTTTAAAAAATTGTAACATACATTCTACCAACTTTCAGGATGTATTATAGACAGCTTACAGTAAAAGATACATATATAGTATTAGCTATGAAAACATTTTTATTCTTTTTTCCTGAGTCCTGGTGTTGTGCTGCAGGATAATGCACTGGACCGCAAGGTTGGTTTGAACTGCAAGGTTGGCAGTTCAAATCCACCAATCAATTGTCAAAAACCCATACATATTTTCCATGAGTTGGATCCGATTCCATGGCACTTAACAACAGCAAAGCTTACTTGACTGCAACTTACTTCTTTTTTATATAGTACAACTGTTCAAATATATGAGTAATGTTTCTCTTTAGGGTTCACTTGATTTCTATAAAATTTACAAAAATAATCCACTAAGCTATTGTTATTGTTGTTGTTAAGTACGCTCTATGATTCTGGACCCTAGCGACACTGTATAGGGTTTCCAAGGAGCAACTGGTGTGTTTGAACTGCCAACCTTGTGGTTAGCAGTACGGTGCTGATCCTACAATACAATCCCAGGAGTCCATTGGAATGTCACCATATTTCCCACAGCAGCCTGTACTGTTCTATACATAAAAGGCATTCTGTAACTATTGTGTAATGTTTATATTTGTATAACATTTCATAATTTCCCAAGGCCTTTCTCCTGTTTTATCTCACTCGATTGTCTCAATAGTTGGAGAAAGAACACACAACAAAGTTCCTACAATGATTTCTTTCTAGCTAAATTCTTCCGCTTCCCACATGATGATACAATAGAAGGCAGTATTTAAGAGGGAAATTAAAATAGCTATCAATTAAATAATTAAATATATGTGGAAATCAGTAATAAGGTACGCTTAACACAACTCTTCTTTAAAATTAGTTTCAGAAATACAAATGCTACATTATTTAAAATCCAGGGGAAAGAAATACCAAATACAAACATCGTCTGAAATATTTTTAAATTGATTAGGTGAGTTTTTTTAAGTGATCACAAACTATTTTGGGATCATATTTTCACATTTCTATTCCTTAATACAATAATAAACATACATAACAATAATTCTTACTTGGTTCTACTAACATAAAGGAGCTCTGGTAGCGTAGTGATTACAAATCGGGCTGCGAATCTCAAAGTCAGCAGTTCCAAACTACCAGCTGTTCCGCGGGAGAAAGATAAGGCTTTCTGCTCCCGTAAAGATTTACAAGCTCGGAAACCCTGTACAAGGTCGCTATGATTCGGAACCGACTCCACAACACATTACCACCACCAACACCACTAATATAGAGAAAAAAACCCATGATATTTTAAGGGCAAATAACTCAAACGGTTTGCACATAATGTCATCCTAAAGGTTGACAGTTCAAACCCATTCAGCATTATTGCTAGACTCCATCAAGACTACAGTCAAGAAAACCTTATGCAGTAGTTTTAGCCTGTAATGACTAGATGGCAATTAACAACTATTCTTACTTGAATCTTGAACATATGACTTCCAGTCAAACTCAACGAGAGTTTCGTTTACAAGAGTGCCGTTGTAATTCACAGTTATATTCCTCTCTATACTATGTTCCTCCAGGGAAGAATTACTGGGAGGCCACTGTACACATTTATTTCTCAGGTTGCCCATGAAAAGCTGCAGCCCAATCAGAGCAAACACACTCAGACAGAACACAGTCAGGATCATGACGTCCGAGAGCTTCTTCACTGACTGGATCAGGGCCCCTACGATGGTCTTCAGGCCTGAAAAAAAGGAGATTACAATGTAGTTTTAGCATACCTGAAATATTAAATCTTCCCACAATTTACTTTAAAGCATAGAATCAATGCATAAGTACAAGTGTGATAGCAATACAAATGGAAGGCTGAAGAGTTATGGAGATAAACTTCTGAAATGCAGAGATCCCTCAAACATGAAATCAGCATCTATATCCCATTATGTTGAGAGATGGTAATGAGAAATTCAGGGTCTTCAAGAAGCTTGTATTAAGGCAAGGATCTTGTGTTTCTCTTCTTTTCCTTTCCTAAAGAACTTGGTCTCACACATTCAGTTTGTCAGTGTTATGATAAATTGAATACATATTTTAAAAACTGAAGCCGTTTGAAGTATGACTGTTTTGTAAGATTAAAGTGCAGTCACACATTTTATTATTTTCATTATTTTAGATTCATACTACTCTTTATTAGCTTTTGTTAGCAATGTTAAGATTTACATGGCTATCAATGCCTATTATAAAAGAAGTTACAGATTGGTGCATTCAACAGGAAACAATTCCTTGGTTCAACCGTCATTGAGAAAACCAAAACAAATACACAAAAATGGCATTTTAAAAATGCAAACAACACAGCATACGTATTACAGTACCTCAAGCAAGAAACTGTTAAAGGCCAAGTCTGATGAAAACAAAAAACTTATTTCCAGACAGTAAGAATCATTTTCTATTTTCTGCAATACTCAAAGTAAAGCAAAGAAGTTGATGCCAAAAAGACATAGGGTCAGCCTCAATGTTTAACTCACTCTTACCTGGAATGACGGAAATTGTTTTCAATGCTCGGAGAACTCTGAATGTTCTCAACGCTGAGACATTGCCCAGGTCCACAAACTCTGTCACATATCTGTAATAGGGGAGTTCACACACAAACACAATAATAGGATACAGAGAAAAGAGCTGTAGATACAAGAAAAGAAGCCTTATGCTTTACACTAGTCACTGCTTCCCTAGAAATACAGAAATCATTTTCAAAGCTTTTAAGACTCTGAACATGTGAAGACTTACAAAACTGCCTATACTTAACAAATTCTGTTACATACCTATGGAATGAAATCTAAGTTATTAAATATTTAAGCAGAATTTATATTTTTTTGTTTTGGTCTTTTGTAAGGATCTTTATAATGGTTTTATATGATAAATATTTTAAGTAAGGATTTAGAAATTCAAGTCCATCACTCTGGATTACTCACAAAATATGTGTCCATTAGCTAGATATAAACTTCATAGAGTACATATTTTTGTTGTCACTTTGGAAAGTAATATAATCAATGTCAACATTTGCTTTGTGTTGGTACCATAAAGTTGGTTTCGACTTATTGCTACCCTGTATAGGGTTTCTGAGGCTGCAAATCTTTACGGTAGCAGAAAGTTTCATCTTTCTCCCACGAAATAGCTGGTAGTTTCAAACTGCTGACCTTAAGGTTAGCAGCCCAACTCATAACCACTACACTACCAGAGCTCCTTAGGAGAATTAAAAATAGAAAAGATAAAAATCTTGGCCATGGTTCCAGGGTTTCAGTTAGAAGAAAAATATATGAAATCACTCAACAGAAATTTAAGCATGAAAAGGCAGAGTGCCTTATGGACTTTATATATGCAGTTTTCTTTAGGGTAACTTTTAAGTGAAAGCTAGACAAGCTGCTTTCACATTACACTTGTTGTTGTGTGCCTTTGATTCCCTTCTGACTCATAATGACCCTGTATAGGGTTTCTGAGAATGGCAGGTGGGTTTAAACTGCCAATCTTTCAGTTAGCAAGCCAATGCTTATACTACAGCACCACACCATGACTTCCATTGCTGCTAGTTTATTTTTAAGAAACAGAGGCCCCAATATGTCTACTTTGAGTTGTGACTACAGGAAGTGGTGAAAAGTGGAATTTAGATGAATCTGGCTGCATTGATAGCACAGTGTGTTGCAGGTCAGACTGCTAAACTGCAAAGTTAGCAGTTTGAGCCCACCAGCAGATCCGTTCCCCCCCTCCTCCTGTGTACCACTTATAGGCAGCCAAGAAAGCCAGCTCCTCTCCAGGAAAAAGGATGTGGGTGTGTGGTGTAGGTACACCTGCTTCCACACTTACTGCTTTCATCTACAGGATTACCCCACTATCAAAAGTAGAGCATGCCTATGAAACCTTTTGTAAATCCAAACAGCATAAAGCTCTGAAGCAATTACCACTAATTTCTTTGGGAAATATTTCAGAGGATTTCCAGATCCCAAAATAACTTACCAAATCACACCAAATAACATAAAACCTAAAATATAAGGGTAAGCAAAAACATATTGATATTAGGGTTTCAGTTCACATATGTACATGTTTATTCCAAACGAAACCTCAGAAACCCTATGAGTTGGTCGCTAAGAGTTAAAACCAACTCGACTGCATGTATCAACAATAACAAACATGTATAAACATGTTTTTGTGGTTAGTGGATAGTAGAAGACTAGTTTTCTCAGTAATTCACACGTCTTAGTCTTGTCATCCAAAAAAATAACCAATCAAAACAGTGGCTCCCAAGGGTATTCCCTCAACCAGTTAAATTCAAGGCAAAGAGGTCAGCTCAGAAGTTTATGCTGATTGTTGTTTGAAGTTCCAAAGGCATCATCTTGATGGATACGTTTCCAAGGACAGAAGATGATCGTGGGTGCTTATTAGGAAGGGGTTATAAGAAAACTGAAAACTTTGTTGGTAAGTAAAAGGCCAGGAAAGTTGTATCAGTTTTTTTCCCCATGATGACATTGCTCATTCTCTGAGGGTAGGAAGTGCTGTCCTATGTGAATTTTGTTGGGAAAAGTGACCCCATCCACATTACAGCCTGGTTTTGCCCCTCCAGACTTCTTTTTATTCCCCAAACCCAATGAACATTGAAAAGGAACACAGTGCCTCCCTCAAGAATGCCCGGACTGCTCTTTTGACGGGGTGTAAATCAAAGAGCACAAAATTCGTAGGGGAGGGTGCTAGAAATGGAAAGATCTTCAAAAGTGTATAAACTATGTTGAGAAACAAAACATATTTTGAGATTGTTTAATAAGGACTTCTCAAGTTACTTTTTAAGTTACCCTTGTAACACTAATGTAGTAAAAGCAGATATTAGTCTGATAAATGACAGTCTATATAAAGTACAAATGATGTATGTACAGTGTCATTTCCAAGTGAAGGAGATTGATGATGTCCCTCTCAAGCTGGGGGTATGTGCTGCCTCTAGCTGTAAAACACACACTTAACTCTAGTGTCCCTTTTCATTCTTTTCATAAAAGCAAAAATCCGATTTCTTTCAATTAGTGAAAACAGGCCTCTGGTAATGTGGTGGTGGTGGTTGTTATGGAGTTGTTTCCAACTCATAGCAAACCTGTATAGGTTTCTGAGGTTGTAAACCTTTATGGGAACAGAAAGCCTCATCTTTCTCCTGTGGAATAGTTGGTAGTTTCAAACTGCTGACCTTGAGGTGAGCAACCAACTTATAAACAATATTCTACCAAGGCTCCTTTCTGGTAATGTAGATCTATCAAAAGAGCTAAGTGGCATCAAGCAAGCTTTCAAAAAGCAGGGATATCTATACTTCTAAATAGCCTACAATTCATTTTCTGCCATGAAGAAATTTGTTGTTAAATGTCCTCAAGCCAATTCCAACTCATAGCGACCCTGTATAGGATTTCGGAACTTCTGGTGTAGTGCTATAGGATAAACACTGGACTTCAAACCATAAGGTCGGTGGTTCAAATCTACCAGATGCTCCTTGGAAACCCTAAGCAGGGTTTCTGTGAGTTGGAACCGACTCAACACCACTTAACAACAACATAGTGTTTCTGAGGAGACACTGGTGAGTTTGAACAGTTGATCTTGCAGTCCAGTACATTACCTTGTAGCTCCACACCAGGACTCCATTGAAATTTACTGGTCTGCAAAAGCTGTGCTAAGTGTACCTACATAGACAGGAGTCCTAGGGAGGCAGGAGCAGTTACACACTTGACTAATAACCGAAGTTTGAGCCCACCGAGAAGTGTACTAAGGAGCACTGATGGTATATGGGTGAAACATTGAGCTGCTCAATGCAAGGTTGGAAGTTCAAACCCACAATTCACTCCATGAGAGAAAGATAAGGTTTTCTGTTCCCTTAAAGATATACAGCTTTGGAAACCCCAAGGAGCACTTCTACTTTGGGGTTGAGCTGAGTCACAACTGACTTGACATTAATGGGTTATTTTGGTTTAGAAGTACACGGGATAGTTGCCTGGTGATCAGCTTACAAAGGCACAGCTTCGAAAACCCTGTAGTGTACAGTTCTACCCAGTATACATAGGGTTACCATGAGTCAGAACAGACCCTCTGCCAACTGGTTTTGTTTGTTGTTCTTCTTTTGGGGAATTTGGGCAGTAAATAAGCATATGGAGGTGAAAGAAAGATATGAATACAATTAATCAAAGGAAAGAAGAAAGGAAATAAGGGATCAGGGGAGAAACAGAACCAAGAGTGTGTGTGGGCATTTTGTCTTCAAAAAGTAATTTTGTTTCAGCAGATATGAAGGGAGATGCACAAGAACCACAAACTTGCAGATAGTACTCATTTGACCTAGCTTCAATGGCTGGATGATCAGAACTTGACTAAACAAAAATAAAAATGTTTAAAAAAAATTTTTTTATAAAGAAAACAAATGCAAATCACTATAATTTGATGAACTTGATTTATACCTATGGATGTAGTAGCTTAAATACCAACTAAGAGGGAAAGAATCTTCACAGCAAGGATCATTCCAATCCCCTCTGTACACAGGGTTGTCAGGAATGGGCATCTTAGACATTGGCTACCTAAAATTGATGGCTATAAAGGCATGAAGTGATTGGCTTACAAGTTTACAAGGAGTTTAGTTTCAGTGTGTGCATCTGTGTGTGTGTGGGGGGGGGGAGTAGAATCCCCACTGAGTGGTTTTCATCCTGTCTAGACAGGGCTGGTGAAGGAGATGAGGATTCAATAGTGAGTAATTGTTATCATGACTAACTGCAATGGTCACAACTGTGAAGGTACAAGTTTTGTAACTAAAAGTGGGCAGTGGTTGATCTTACAGTCCAGGAACAGAGGACCCTGGGACCATCAAGAGAGAAGAGTGGAAGTGGAGTGTGGGACCCTATCCAGAAAAGCAGCAATGCCAGAGATGGAGGCAGAGATGATGACACAGAGAGAGGGAGCAGCTACAGAGAGGGGGAGCAGCTAAGGACTCTAGGCTCATGGAATATAGGGACTGTATGCAGACTTGCAGGGTGTGCCCTTTGGCTGTCTGAATGACTGTATATTCCTGAGTGTTTTGGTGTACATCAAAAAAACAAAGCCAAACCAAACCTGAGGGAATAGAATCAAATACTGTTGAATGATGATGCATAGAGGGAACTGTAATCGTTGCAATGAAACAAAATAGGATAGGATGAGTGTAAAACAGATGTTCTCCCATGTAACCTATCAGTTAATTAATAATAAAAACACCAAAAACAATATTTTTTTCTCGTGAAATAAGGATTTGATATATTCTTTTATACCTGGTTTTTTTTTTATTTTTGTTTTTTCCATTTGATTTATCAGTGGATACCAATAGATGCTTTTGTTCTTTTTTCTACCAATGGGGAAAAAAGAAGTTGATGAGAGTGAATAATACAAGTAAGTTCAATACAATTATGTGGGGCCAGCAGAATTATTTGGGCTATAACTTTTAAAAGTAATTTTGAAAGATAGCTTACTCCAATTCATTACACTAAATATGAGTGTGTGTTAGAAAAGCAGTGTGCATGAAATTATCTAAAAATTGTAGTTAGTATGAATCATTTCAACTACTGCCACAACTTCATGCCAAAGTGAAATTACACTTTGACTTTTGTTAATGCTGAATTTAAATCCAGAGCTTAATTTTCACACCAAAATATTCCTTAAAAGCATTAGTACTTATTGAAAACACAAACTACGTTCTGTTTTGAAGTTTGAAAAAAGGCACTTACGCAAATGTAATGACAGTGAAATCAAGCCAGTTCCATGGGTCCCGAAGGAAAGTAAAATCTTCTAAGCAGAAGCCCCTTGCAATAATTTTTATGAGTGATTCAAATGTATATATTCCCGTGAAGGTATACCTGGAGATAAGTCCCCAAAAGAAGCCTTAAAGTTTAATTTTCTTTTCATAGCATATCAACTTGCAATTCTATTCAATTGGAATAGACTACTAAAAAAGAATTTAAGCAAATTGACTTTATTTTCATAGAAATACAAGATAGACCTACATTTAAATTTAACCCCCTAATACATAATGAGTTGTATAACAGGTCCTAAGAATTATTAGAATACTGCTGAACATACTTTATCTACCTACTGTCTAAAGTATCTTTGTGTTAGTATAAATTAACAAAGCCTGATTTAAATGAATTATTGAGTCCATTGAATACATTCACATGGTGGAGCACCCAATCAATAAAATACCCATTCCTTACTTATGGACATGTTTAGGTTCTAAATAGCAAGTCATTATGCAAAAATCAATGCTATGTGAATCTGGAGGATAACCACATTAGATCACAAGAACAGAGGGTGATTACATCATTACATATCTTTCAAATATCAGCATTATAAAACGTCAGATTCCATCATTACACAACTGCCAACCCACTGAGAATCATGGCCCAGCAAAGTTGACAAATACCTTGAACCAGCATAGCCAGCTTTACTCTTGTCTCACCCATCAATGTTTGTTATTGCCAGATGCATGTTGTTAATGTACAAAATAGCTCAATAGTAACTATAATAAATGCAAAACATCAGATAACAAGACAAATGATGAGTAAGTGTTTTGCAGATGTATAAAGTGATTTTCTCTTAGAGTGAAATCAATAAATCAATTTCAATTACTTTTAAGAATTATAGAACATTGCCAAATTAGCAAGTTTTTTTTTAAACACAGTAGGTTAATTTGAATCGAAAAAAAGTTCATTAAAATCAAGATTGGTCCTCTCTGGTCATTGTTGTCATTGTTAAGTGCCATCCGAGTGGGTTCCAACCTATTAATGACCCTGTATAGGGTTTTTGAGGGGCAGTTGTTGAGTTTGAACCATGGAGGTGGTAATTTAATTTAGGGGGGCAATGTGCTAATTCAGAAATTTGGATATTTCCAAGGCTTAAACTTCACAGATTTAAAACATTTAGAAGTTGTTTGTATAAAACTACAGAAGGGAGAATGAAGACCTACAGGGCCTCACTGTTGTAACACCAGTAGTCAGGAACTCTTTGTTTGTTAACTTTATGACTTCCTTGACCTTATTTGTCTACTTTCCGATTGGCTTCAGCAGCAAATGTCAGAAAGGGCTCTAGGGGAATGCTTGGAGGTTGTTTTCAGAGTCCAGGTGTAGCTCTAAAGTAGTGTAAGTACTGGACTGCTAACTTCAAGGTTGGCAGTTCAAACCCCAAAGCCAACTTGTTGGAAGTCCTTACAGAGTTCCCATGAGTGAGAACCAACTCGATGGCACTAAATAACAACCACCACCTTATCCTAACAAAGACTACACTGTAGTCAATGTGAGTACAAAGGTGATCCCTGAAAGACATGCAGCCTCCGCAGTGACTACAAAACCAGCCTCTCTGCTCTCAAAGGTATGCCCAGAATCAAGAATAGTTTATAATGCTTCTGATTTCTGAAAGTGCGACTTTAACTTTTACTTCAGTTCATTTTGAACTCAGTCTCCTGAAGTTTTCAAGTTCTGAAATCTCTAATTAGGGGATTTTTTTCACCGACCCATTTGTTTGGTGAGTACACTTGAAACTGATATCAGACTGACATAAAGTAGATGTGCCAAATGGATATGACAACTTGGGTGAGATCAGCATTGGCTTTTTACAGCATTTGTGGTCTACCCTTTAAAATTCTTAACTCACTATGTTCACAAACCAAGGCCCACCGTACTGGATCGTTCATCATGTTTACTTTGGCCACTGTGGATCCTAAAGCAAAGGTGATGAGTTGTCCAAGAATGATGGATTCTGCTGCTCAGCAAATACAGGTCAAAGAGAGATGCCAACAGACCTGTGGGCCAGAGACTACTGTCTCCCCACTGTGTAACTGTGTCTAGAAATGGCTGTAATAAAAATGCTCTTCAGCTTTGTTTAGTGGCTATATTCAGACATAATTTCAAAATCCCAAATAGATATATCTATATATGTATATTAGGCAATTTAAAATAAGATGAACTTACTCTACATTCTTTGTCCACTCGGGAGGATTACTCATTGTCATAAACACGCAGTTCGTCAAAATAGTGCACATGATTAGCATGCTGAATAATGTAGGTTATTGTTAAGGAACACACATAAGAAAATCCAAAGCCAAGTACTGTATTATAGACAACTAACATTGAAAGGTTTGAACTGCAGTTCAGTCAGGATTCAATGTCACAGAGCAGTAGTATAGATGAGATGATGTGTGTGAAAATGTTGATGAGATAATCTACGGGAAAGTATTAAATCAGTATATGATGATGTTTTGCTACTTTTTAAAAATCAATATATTTATCTCTCAGACAAACTTTAATGGAAACATTATATACAGCCCAGACTTAAGGACTTTGGGGGCACAAAGTAGTGTCTCGAACTAATTCAGGTGATTAAAATAGTAAATTGCTGAAGAAGGGCATGGTGGTTGTGGTGGCTGGTTATGTGCCATGGAGTCAGTTCCGACTCATAGCAACCCTGCATAGGGTTTCCAAGGCTGTAGATCTTTATGGGAGCAGAAAGCCTCATATTTCTCTTGCAGAACAGCTGATAGTTTTAAACTGCTGACCTTGAGGTTAGCAGTTTGACTTGCAACCACTATGCTACCGGAGCTCCATGAAGAAGGACATAAACTTCCAATATTATAATATGTTAGGTAGGTATTATATCATTTAGTTGAGTGAATAAAAATAATTTTTAGTAAAAGTACAGTTGGATGCTAAGTGTTGGTTTGCCATATGTTGACTGAGTTTATACACCTGCTCAACAAACAGCATTGGGTAAGATTAAAGATGAATATAATTGACGGCCAGGGTTTTAACAGGTATGAATGTAATTTAAATTCTACATAGTAAAGTAATGTTGGGCAAGTCCTCCAGCCTCTCTGTGCCACTTAACCAAGCTATGTCTCATCATTCTTTTTATAAAATGTCACTAATAATGTAAAGATCTCTTCTCTTTGACAAAGTAAAGATCAAGTGAGTTACTATGTGTGAAATACTTGGAATAGTGCCTGTGAATTAGTAAATATTATCTAAGCATTTGCTAAAACAAATAAACCAAACATACAGTTATAGAACTGAAAGGAACCTTAAAAACTAGTTTCATCACCAAATACTATATATTAAATAAATTAAAACAAACTCTACAGAAACTAGGTCATTTGACCAAGGACTAGAACACTGATTATCCTGCCTTTAGATCCGATTTGCTTCCATTACAGTTTACTGCCCAAACAAAAATTTTCCATTAAAGTTAAAAAGAAAGTTTTCATCAAATGACCACATGATGGCACTAGGAACACAAAGGAGAGGGAAACTTTCAAATAAATGTAAAAACCCTGAACATATGATTTTTATGTTTTAAATCTTTTACTTTTAATTGTTGTTGTTGTTAAGTGCCATCGAGTCGGGTCCGACCCATAGCGACCCTGTATAGAGTTTCCGAGGGTGTAAATCCTTACGGGAGTAGAAAGCCTCATCTTTCTCCCGCGGAGCGGCTGGTAGTTTCGAACCGCTGACCTTAAGGTTCGCAGCCCGATTACTTTTAATAAGTGTACTTATATCCTTAAAGAATCTAATTTCCAGATTATAAATTGTCTTTTTCAATTTTAAAATCTTTCCCCCCCCCTTTTAAATTAAGTAGTATGCACTATGATCATTTCAATGATATTTTATGTTAATTCTGTGAAAGTTACCAAATAAATACAGCCTGGAATGAAGTTGTTTTTCACTAATGAACATAAACAATTAAATTTAGTATGCAGAATTCTTTTTAACATCAATGGAAGTCACAAAGCCAAATCCCTAAAGAAATATATAATCTCAGTTTCTTTCATTAACTCTCAGGGTCTTGACAAAGCAGTAAGTTTTGCATGGCACAAACAGAATTCAATGACTTAAATTTGAAATCCAGCCAACATTCCAGCCCAGTTTCATTAGAAAAGTTTAAGAAATAGCTAAGTATTGGTTAAAGCCTCCTGACATTCTTCAATTAAAAAACAAACAAAAAACCCTTAAAAATTTATTCAAAGGTACATTAAAGTGTTTTATATAATAGATACATCTAAACTTAGCTATGAAAGTAAATTTCCTTATTATTATGTATTATATTGTAATTCACTGTAAAATTTTACACAATCACAAACTTTACCTGTACTTATATGGTAAAGATAAATTGGGCTATTTTATACAAGATTTGTAGGAGTCAAAACATACAAATATTTTTACAGATACCAAATATACATACATATATATATATATATATATGCCTATATGTATATAGTTATGATATTATGTGACTAATTTAAGAATCTAGTTTTATGTGACAAAGAAAAATACAGAGTAATAAAAGCTATAAAATATGGATATTTCCCAACTTAATTTTATATTTAGCTACAGAGCACTTATAGATTATGTACAAATAGTTAATATTAATCACTTGGAAAAGGATATGAATGTACCAAAATCTTAATAGCTATTTTCCTAAGAGGATTGAAGGGAGTTAAAATGTACAGGGCAGAGGTGGCACTGAACCGGAAGATGGCCTTCCCTTTATTCAATACTATAAAAGTCTGTAAGATAGGAACACAACATAGAAGTATAAAAAGTATAAACCATTTAAACTCTATTGTCTACTTTCTGAATGTTCCATAGTGAATCATTCAGTGTTACATGACAATCAGAACTTTTGATGTGCTCCATGAAGTTAAACTATCATTAAATCTCTTATAAAATAAGAGGAGAAATCCAATAGCATCACTTACCTTTCCCTGGTACTTACCTGTGATTTAATAGTGCAAAACAAATTTTGATCAAGAAAATTCACATATCTTCTTAAGATTTCAAATGATGATTTAAATGGGTACATACTGTATTTTACTCTAAAAATCTTAAGGCATTACATTATTTTTAGTGATTTCAGTTTTCCCAATTGAAATGTCTTTTAAATGAATCCGGTGGAATATAAAATCATTCACTAGCATGAACACTATTTTAAAAATAAATATTCTTTTATCATCTATACTTACAAAATATACATTATCACACTATTTGTAACAGAAAATAAAAACAGCCACCATCAAATTCGGTCCTGGGTTAGTGGATGTGATCCAATAATTGATTTCTGGAGGCCAAGTTCCCTGGAGAGTATCCGTTGACCAGGAGGGAGTGCTAAATTGTGTACTGGGATTTCTGAATTAGCTGACACATTGAATTGTAATCCCAATTGACTGCCTAGGTTCATGTAATACTGCTTTCTTAACAAAAAGTTCAATACCCCTGAAGAACCCAGGATCTGTGACTATGATTGGAATTGCATTAGAAAAGTTAGACTTATTTGAAAGCAATTGGCAATGTGAAGACAAAATAAATAAATAAGAAGCAATATGCAACAGTGTATAGCATTTCAAGGACTCTTTGACTCAACGTTTGTTGATATTCAAACAGAGCCAGGGGTAGAAGAAAACAATGATCTTCATAAAGAACATATTTGGGAAAGGGAATTTTAAAGCTTTTTAAATTAAAATTTCCCATTCTTCAAAAAACTCCATTTTAAACAATAGGATACGTATCTGCTTAGATCACAATTATTAACTTTATGTTTATTTTCTAGGAATCCTTGATAAGGGTTTTTGTCTATATTTAGACTGCCGTTCATTTTTTCATTCTTGTTAGGTGCTGTTGAATCACTTCTGGCCCATAGTGACCCTGTATAGGGTTTCTGAGGAGTAGACCGGTGAGCTTGAAAAGTTGACCTTGCAGTTCACACTGACCTTGCAATCCAGTGCCACACTAGGACTCTGCTGTTCATTTTAGAGGTTCCTTTTTCTTTTTTTTTTTTTTCCTTCTACAACTGAGATATTCCAAACTCAATGGCTCAACAACACCAATAAATATCAGGACTAGAGGAAGATTCATTAACAGCCTGAGATATGCAGATGATACAATCTTGCTTGTTGAAAGTGAAGACTTGAAGCACTTAGTGATGATCAAACCCTGTACTCAACATCAAGAAAACAAAAATCCTCACAAGTAGACCAATAAGCAACATCATGATAAATGGAGAAAGGATTCAAACCGTAACAGTTTGAATCCTTTCTCCATTTGCATAATCAATGCCCATGGAAGCAGAAAAAAAATCAAACATTGGGAGAATATACTGAAAATACCTTTTAAAAGTGTTAAAAAAAAAACAAAAAAAAACACCACTTAAGATGTCATTTTGAAAACTAAGAGGCCAAAGCCAAGGTATGGTATTTTTATTCACTTCATATGCATGACAAAGCTGAACAATGAACAAGGAAGTCCAAGAAGAATTGATACCTTTAAATTATAGTGTTGGCCAAGAATATTAAATATACCATGGGCTGCCAGAAGAATGAACAAATTTGTCTTGGAATCAGTATAGCCAGAATGCTCATTGGAAGTGAGGATGGTGAAACTTTGCCCTACTTACTTTGGGCATGCTATCAGGAGGGACCAGACCCTAAAGAAGGGCATCATGCTTGGTAAAGTAGTTGTTGTAGTAAAGTGCCACTGAGTCAGTTCTGACCCATAACGACCTTGTATAGGGTTTCCTAAGAGCGGCTGGTGAGCTTGAACCACTGACTTTGCAGTTCCAACTGATTTTGCAGTCCAGTGCATTAACCCACAGCACCACCACCAGGACTCCTGGTAGAGAGTCAGTGAAAAATGAAAAAGACCCTCTGTAAGATGAGTTGACACAGTACTGCAACAATGAGTTCTAACATAGCAACAATTGTGAGGATAGTGCAGGACTGGGTAGTGTTTGATTCTGTTGTACTATGGATCAGAACTGACTCAGTGACACTTAACAACAATAGTAACAAGTCTAGAAAACAAAGCAAATTGTAAGTACTAAGTCCATGTTTAAGAAGTGGGGGTGTCTCAAATGTGCTT